ATTTGCATCTGCATTTGCATCTTTGCATTTTTACATTAGTATATACACATTGTACATTACATGGTATACATTGCATCCCAACATGCACTAATCACGGGTCCCGAGAGTAACTCGTGGAGAATCTTGTGACAAAGGTTTTGAGGTAAGATGAAGTCACCCCATTCGTTCCTAGAAAAGAATTGAAAGCTATGGACGTGGCGCTATCACCATCTGAAGATCAAGGCACCTCATTGAGAATGGTGGGGCATTGAAGTGCAAGGTTTAAAATTTAATTGATTTAGGGGCATGGAAATTCGATGAATGAAGGGGCATTCTGATGCAAACCAAGAAAATCATTGCATCCACTATGAACTTTTGATGCACTCACATATTGTCTTGTTTGAATTTCTTTTCTTTCTCTTTTCGTTAAAAATTTTGTAAGTCACTTGACGTTAGAAAATTTTAAATAAAATGTTTCCTTATGAGGAAATGAGCAATGAGAAAATATTAATCTTGAAATTCCTTGAATATCATCTTAGTTAAGCTTTTTAATAATCGAGGTTGTAAATCTTTGACAAATGACAAGATTGAACCCCAGCAAAACAAGGACCCCTTGATTCTAATCTAAATATACACCAGAATACGTACCCTTCTCTTGAAGGGATCGAGCTAGCTGTCTCCTTGCATGTAGAGTCAATCAAGGGTTTGGCATTAAAGTATGTGTTAGGGGTTGATAAAATGGGGTAACTTGCACATTAGATTGCTAAGCTAATGGGTTCCTACTTCTGTTGATAACGTTCAATGATGATCATGATCTTCACAGATAGAATGGTCGAGTAGGTGAATCTAGTTTAGGTCAGTTGCTTGGAAATTGAACTCTAACGATGAGGTTTTTTGACCTACAACAAACACCGGGACTATAACATGTTCGCATTGACAAGCTTAAGAAGTGGAATCCGTATACCCAGAATATATATATACAATAAAGCTAAACTATTCCGCTAAAGCAATTGGTTATAGAGGAAACTCAGATCTACAACAATAGGGGAAGTTTTTGGCGAATCAGAGCTCAGATCCTTGCTCGGGGAGTAGAGAGATCTCGAACAGTGGTCGCGTCTTACCTTTTCGTCGATGACGAGCGGCGGTCGCCGCCGATCAGTGATGTCTCTTACGGTGGAGCTCTCCACTGGCTTCTGGAGAAATAAAGAGAGAAGAGAGAGAACTTACCAATGAGAGAGAGTGTGAAGAGAAAAATGAAAAAAAGAGAAAGGAAATGGGTATTTATAGCCCAGACCAAACGACGTCGTTTCGACCCCCGTATGTGTGTGTTGACCCGAAAGGTCTAATCCCTTCCGAAATCTTCAACTTTTCATGCGTTTATAATTTAGTCACTTGTTTTAGGATTAATTTCTTATTAATTTATAATGTTTGTCCTTATTTTGTTATATTTCCAATTTATGTTCTAATGTTAACTTTTGGTTTATTTCTTTTTAAGTCCCTGTACGTTTCTCGTGTTTTTACAAAGTGGTCACATGTTCGTCCTTTTTATTTTTCTGTTTAAATGCATGTACTCAGGCTGTAATTTTACATTTAATTAATATTGCTAGTTGAAATTTATGGGTTATTCACATTAATATCCCCTTACTTTAGACGTGAATTTGCAGTTTGGCCACTATTTTCCTTTGTTATTATTATTATTATTTGGAAATTGACTTATTAATTTCATTTTCTTTTTTTAGTCACTTATTTACATTTTATTTACTTCGATTTAGGTATTCTTTTTATTTTAGTTTAGTCCCCATAATGCTTTTTCTGTTTGATTTGAATTAGTTGTTTTTTTATAGTTTGGTCCTCGTTGTTGAAATGTGAATGTTAAACATTTAATATGACCTTGTGTGACCCGCCCTAGGATATGTTTTTTGATATTCATGATTTGAGCAGCAATTAAAAATTAATCTCTAACTTATAGTCTTATTTGATTAATTTATTTTCAGTTATTTATATTTATGTCCTTTATATTTTCGTTATTTTAATTTGTGCAATTTTTTTGTATTACATTATAGTTCTTTAAAATTTAGCTTTTAATTTTTGTACTGATTTTATTTAATACTTGTATTCTGATTTCTTGCATTGTGGTCCTTTTGCTTTATGCTTTGATTTCGGCTTTGTGTTTTTAATTTATTGCAATTTTAATCCATATATTTTATTATTATTATTATTATTATTATTATTATTTATTTATTTATTTTTACATGTTTATTGTTTATTTTAAATTTGTTATTTTAGTTTTATTTAGTTAAGTTTTTACATGATTTGTTCTTAGACCGGATTAATAATTGAATATGATCTAGAAATTAGGACGACGTTCTAGTTTAATTAGGGAGCAATTCGAGTTGAGTTTTCGCATAAGATGTCCGATTACTCGAATTGATTGCTCGACTTCTAAATTTTTTAATGATTAATATTTTCTAAAAAAATTTAAGTTTAATAATTTAGATAATAATTAGGTTTTTAATTAGTCATCAACTTTAGAAATTATCAATTTAGGTCCTACGCTTTTAAATCTTTTAGAAATTAATATTTTTATATCTTGACCTTTTAATCCCAGAATTTCGATTAGAACTTTATTATTGACATAATTAATTAAGATTAACATTAGAGCCTCCATCTTAGGCTTGATTTCACATTTAGTCCTTTAATTATGTGAATTCTTAATTTGGTCATCGCTTTTGCTCGAGGTTTCAATTTAATTATTTGAAACAATATTTATTAAAATTAATTTAAGTTAATGTTAGAACCTCTAATTTAGGTTAGATTTCAAACTAGTCTTTTAATTTAGAGGATAATTCGCGTCGACCCTCGCGTAAATGCTCGAGAGACCATCTCAATTATTCGATTCAATAATTGGTTTAAAATTAAATAAGGTTAATATTAGAACATACGTTTCTTGGTTTGCGGCTTTAGATCTTTTAATTTTCATAATTTGACTCCTTAAGCTATAAAAAACCTTAACTTACCCTTAGCTTAATTAGGATAAATAAAAATTTGTTTGATCACATTATATTTTCAAACCTAAAACAATGTTCACTTATTAAGGAATTAATGGTACATCTCCTACAAGTATGCTCAAGGATTGACTACTGGTAATTCCCGAAATAGGTCGACATCCTTTTCAAAGATCGCATTATGATTTTCTAAAAACACGGCAATATTCAGTTATTAGACACAATAACTGATCTCCCACATTTACGCTTGGGAGTGAATGATATCGGTCTCGATAAACGAATACCCCTTTCAACTTTGCATCTGTAATAATTTTCAAATTAAATAAAGATCAAACTCAAAATTTTCGATTTTAAATATAGGGTAATCAACTAGGTACTAATTTTTCGGCGCTTGTGGGGGTGCTAATCCTTCCCCACGCGTAACTGACTCTTAAACCCGATTTCTGGATTTTTGTAGACCCTAAAATTCGGTATTTTGATAAAAATAAATTTTTTTATTAAAATCATCCGATTTTTATAGTATCTCAATCGTACCTTAAATGATTGGTGACGACTTTTTACATTTTAAAAATACTTTTCAAAGAAAAATCTTGAATCGATATCGATCTTTGTCTGCCCGAATAAAAAATAGTGTCGAGAGGATGTATAGAGGACATATAGTGGTGGCGTCAGTGGCGTTCCCAATAATTGTGTTAGTTTTGGTTTTTGTGAGTTTCCCGACGGTGTCGTTATATATCCCACCACGTACCCGACTGAATTTCACACTTTCGATTAAATTATTTAGGCCTTTTTTTTAACTTTATTTTTGAAGATTGTAATGTTGATCTACAATCAAAAAATAGATTTTAATACTTTTTGAATATTTTTTTTCGTTTTTTAACATATTAAATTAAATTTAATAGTTTTTTAAATAATAAATATGTAATTATCCCCTCCATACATTCGCTCCAGAATGATGGTCCTTCATTTCAGAATTTAAATTTAAAAGGATGATTCAAATTTAGTTCTAGATTGTTAGCTTTCGCTTTGTTTTCTCATTCTTTCTATATCCCACAATATAATTATAATAATTCTATTACCAGATTTAGGGATATTCATAATTCGGTTAAAATTGAATTAATCAATTGTATTAAAATTTCGGTCGATTAATCTTAGGTTCGATCGGTTAACAGATAATAATTTTTTCCTTTAAATTTAAATTATCGGCTTATTCAGCTTAAAATTAATTAATTATTAATTGAATTAATCAAAATTATTAAATATTTACTATATATATATTATTATTTAATTTTGCGGGTGTTTAAACCTTAATTTTAATCGAAATAATCGAATAAATGAAAAATATTAAATATTTAATGTATAATATATATTATTTATAAATATTATTTAATTTGATTAATTGACTAATTAACTGAATTAAGTTTGATTCGTTTATTTTTTTTAAATTCAATTCAATTAACAGTTAAAAGAAAAAAAATTAATTAATAAATTTTAAATAATTTAGTTAAGTCGGTTTACTGAATTATTCTATTAAGTATTGAAAACCAAAAGAAGAAGCAAGAAGAAGAATCCACGTACTACGATGTACGATTTCAATGTTATTACAAGACAAACAAAACAAATCAATTAATCATCAATTGTTGCTTTATTCTGACATTAGAAAATTCTCCACAAGATTTAAATATTATTATAATATCAAATATTAAATTTAAAATCTAAATAAATCAAATGACAGTAACATATAAATCTCGTATATAATTTTTCCACATTATCAGAGATAATAATATATTAATAAATGAATTAATAAATTGATATTATAATAATATTTCACATTTACATCATCGAAGAATTGAATAACTCGAAAACGTGTCTGTCAACTCTTACTTAAAAAATCTTTTGTGATTAAAGAATCATTATCGAAATCAAAGCAATTTTGTTCTCCTTCCTCCTCCCATAAATCTCGTCTTTCCTCAATTATGGTTTCGTTTCAAAATCAGAGTGGATACTCCACTTTCTCCATTAAACATTACTCTTTTGTTAGGGAGAGAGATTATTCGGATTGAATCCATGTGTGCCAATAGAGTAATCGTTTATGATGTTGAAGAAAACCCATCTTGATTTTCTTTCCGCTTTTATTCATGGGTTTTTGTACACAAACATGCTTCCGGTTGTTGCTTCTCTCTGGGGTTTTCTCTCCAAGTTCATTGCTTTTGTTTTTGGATCGACACTTGGATACTTGTTTAGGTTTGGACTGTTTTATTGTTGATTTTGTATTTTTTCTTGGGGGCTAAGGTATTGGATTAATTTTTTTTTTCTTTTTGTTGGCTTGGTTTTTTTTTCAGGTCTTCAGTTAATGAATGCTTTGATGAGTTGAAAGAAAGAAAGAGCAGTGATCAAGGGAACAGAGAAGCAGAGAATTCTTCTTCCATGGCGGCAAGCTCAAGCAAGTACGAGTTTTTGTATAGGAATGGTTTTAGTGGATTCATTGAAGAACCCAAAGCTGAGAGCTTTACAGTTCATGAGTTTTATACGGATCCTGGCGATAGTTTTACTGTTGCAAAAGATTTGGAGAATTTTCTGGCAACAGAGGATCTTGTTGAAGAGAAATCAAACGAAAGTTTCAAGCTTCAAAACGTTTTGGAGGAAGAACCAGAGGAATCTGCTCTGAGGTTCTCCTTTGACTGGGGTTTTGTTGAACATATCAAACAAGAACAGAAGTCGATTGATGCAAAGGTTGGAGTTGAGGGGGACACAGAACATGATATCATCACAACACAAGATGTTAAAGAGACGGGAAAGGATTATGTTGTTGAAACGTTGTCGGATGAACCTAAGCGCGTGAAGGTTGAAAAAGGAGACATTTTTGAAGAAAAAGCAGAGGAATCAGTTAAGAATTACATCATGGAGGAGAGTTTAGACAAACACGGAAGTGACATAGAAGAGAGATTCGACAACTTTTTCGAGAGTCCGGTGATCGACATGTGTATAGAAAAATGGCATCACGAAAGAGAGGAACCTAACAAAGAAGGGTTGATGTTTAGCCCCACAAACACGGTTGAGGCAGAGTCAATTACTTATGAAATATCGGCAGATAGGAACATCTCAGATGATGCAGCAGCAGCGGACACGAGTGGTCCAATCAATGATTCCGACGATGAATTCATAGAACTGTGTGTAATGGGAGGAGCACAGCCTGGAGAAGATTTAAGCGTCCACGATGAAGGTGATTCGGAGTTCGAGTCGGATGAAGAGGACGACGAGTTCATGGAGCGGCTGAGAATGGAAATGAAAATGGCAAGAACCGGTGGACTTCCAACTATTCTAGAAGAGTCCGAGTCTCCAAAGATAGTGGAACAACTGGGGCCATTACAGATTGATGAAAAATATGATCACAAGGACCATATTGCCGAGATTCAAAAGGTTTACAAGAGTTACTGTGATAAGATGAAGAAACTGGACATTCTGAATTCCCAGACCATGCATGCAATAAGTAAGTCCCCAATCAACCTCATTTCAATTCTTTTCTTCTTCTGCTTTTATTTCTTTTTTGTTATAGTAATCGTGGGAGGGTATTAGTCACATAAATTTAGGAAATTCAGATTCTGTTTTTCTTTTCTATTTAAATACCAGAAAATGCCATCTGGCTTTACCCGTGGAAGGTTTTTTCCCCATCACGACTGAGGATCTTTAAAAATAATTAAAATTGCTTGGTGGGTCTTCGTCTCTATTTATTCCCATCTTTATTATTCCAATAAATGTTCATTTATGTCCTTTTCAATCCTCTAATTCTTGATAAAGCCACTCTAGCCATCGCAGATTGCTATTATCCCACTTCCATGTTTCTAAATTGTCACACGAAAATTCATTTAATAATCTCAGTCGTAAGAAATAAATATTGTTTTTCATAAGATTCGAGTTTGAACAGTGTTAACTTTTGTGTTTTATTTATCTTAAGGTTTACTTCAACTAAAAGACCCAGCTCGAGTAAACAGTTCATTTGGAAAAGCTTCAGCACCGGGAATTAAGTCACTTCTGTCACAAAATGTATGGCTATTGAAACAACGGAAGGCTGGAGCTGAGCCTGCGATGAAGTTGATTAGAGATTTGTACATGGATTTTGAGACGGTCTATGTTGGACAAGTATGTCTTTCCTGGGAAATACTTCACTGGCAATATGGAAAACTAAAAATGTTGTCGGAATCCGACCGCCTCGGCATTCATCAGTATAACCAAGTTGCCGGGGAATTTCAACGTTTTCAAGTGCTTGTGCAAAGATTTCTAGAGGATGAACCCTTTCAAAACAGGCCCAGAATCGAGAATTACACGAAGAACAGATGTGCACTTCGATATCTTCTCCAGGTTCCAGTCATTAAAGGTAATTAAAGTGAACTGCTCATCTATCTTTTGGAGCCTGCAACATGTTTTCAATTCTTGAAAAGCATCACGATGCCTGCTCCTGCAGATGATGGCTCGAAAATTAAATCAGACGATGCCGTGTCGAATGAAATGTTAAGCGATATCATAGAGGAATCGATGCACGTTTTATGGGAATTCATTCGCGCCGAAAAAGACGATTCGAGTGTGATCCCAAAGACTGCCCAGCAAGCACAGGTTGCTCCTCATGACCCTATTGACTTGGAACTTTTGATGGATGTCAGAGCAGATCTTCACAAGGTTTCCATCCTAAGCCTCTTTGAATACCAACTTTTCATGCTTTTCCCGACTCGAATATTCGAGGTAACATGCTGTTCTTTCTCATATGCAGAAGGAGAGAAGGTTTAAGGAAATTCAGAGAAGTAAGAACTGCATAGTAAAGAAGTTGCAGAAGCAACAACAAGGGGGAAATCTATTAGATAATGCATTGTTCATAGCTCAAGTTGAGCTGAAATTGGTTTCAAGAGTATTAAACATGGTGAAAATAAGCACGGATCAGTTAGTGTGGTGTCATGAGAGATTACAGAGGATTAACTTAAGAAGTAGGAAGATAAAAATAGAACCCTTATTTACACTGTTCCCATGTTAGCTTTGGTGGTGACAGACCACCAATATACTTGTTATCAGTTGTGAATATGTTATATACCTCATTTATACTGCAATACAAAAAATATTGGAATTTTGATACCTAAAAGGAAAATCTTTATTTAGTTGGTCTTTACCATTTTTTCTTACTTTCCCAAGAGTATCAACATGTTATATATTTGTTTAGTAGTAAAAGATGATTATAAGGTAGTATATGTTTATAATATTTCTTAACTATTGACAATGCATATGCACAATTCAGATGCAATTGTTTGAATTCATAACCTTAAAAGAGAATAAAATTCTCTTTAACCAGTGAGGTGATTCGAGTTTAATTTTTATAATGTAAATTGTGAGGTTAAAAAAATATTTTTTTAATAAGTAGTATTAAAATACAAAGAATAAAAGTAAAAAAAATGAAATAACAATCATTGTAATGTTCAAAATTTAGAGGAAAAACATGCATTAAAAATAAAAAGGTAAACTACACGATTTAGTACTTAAATTATTAGTTTTTTTAGTTTTAATACTTAAACTTTCATTTGTTTTAAAATTATATTCAACGTTTATTTTTTGTTTCATTTTAGTACCCGAATTACACTTTTATGAGTAAATTACATGAATCACTTAACTATCTTCTCACTCTTATTTTGGTCACTAAAATTTAAAAAATTTCAATTTAACTACTCAACTTTCAAAATACTCCTATTTCAATCACTCTAATTTATTTTATTAATAATTTTTGCGACATGCATTTTTTATTATTATTTTATTAATATATCATTAAAAAAATTAAAAGTTAGAGTGATTAAATTAAGAGTAATTTAAAAGTTAAATAATTAAATTAAAAAAAATTGAACTTTAGTGACTCAATAGAAGTGAAAAGATAGTTGAAAGATAAACAGAGCCGTATCTGGCCTGGGCAGGGGCCCATAATTTTTATTGTATATTATAATTATAAAATTAATCTTATATTTGTTATAGGGTCCAATTATTTTTAATACTTATTATAAAAGTTAATTTTCTCTATTATTTATTATTATGAGTTTATTTTTTTCTAATATTTATTATTAGGGGCCTATTTTTATAACTTTTTTTAATATTTGTATAAGTGTCCAATTTTTTCAATATTTTTTTCTAACATTTGTTACCAAAGGCCTAATTTTTTCAATACTTGTTATTAGGAGCATAGTAACCACAAGAATGACCGTTATTCAGTGACAACGATATCATTTGAAATTACGATATCTACAATTGCTATGTCCACAATAACATATGTTATTAAAAATTCACAATTACGATACTTGTAGTGACTGCAATGTCATCTGTTATATCTGCAATAGTGATAAACGCAATGCGGTCAAAAATATAAATAAAAGTTGTAATTTAAATCCATGATAGGGGCTTAATTTTTTGGTTCGCCCAAGGGCCATCAAAATCTCAGAAACGGGCCTAGTGATGAATAATACAATTTACCCATAAAAAAAGTATCATATATATTCTACCTGCTAAGTTTTTAATGACAAGACACTAAAATAAAACGAAAAATAAATGTCATGTGTGGTTTTGAAACAAATGAAAGTTTAGGTAATAAAATGAAACAAAACTAATATTTGTTTAAGTACTAAATGTATAGATTACCCAAAATAAAAAGAAGAATCAAATTTGAGGTGGATAATGATGGCATTGTTTTTACCACCAAGAAGAGATGGCAGATCCCACACTTTTTTGTAGCATTCAGAATTCGTTCAAATTTTGAGTTTTGATTCGCAATTTTCCAACACTTTGCTTTGCTTTAGGAACAAATAAATCTATTGGTTAACTACTAATTTTAATTAGTAAATTTGTTGGAAATGATGGATAGATAAATTGCGAAACAGATCCATCCATACATTCTAGATACGAATTGGGGGAATTGAGGTTCCGCCTCGGCTCTGGGCAGTCAGCTTTGGTCCTAAAGCTTACCGATTCAATTTCATTTATTTGACTTTTCTCATCACTATATCGTAAGCTTGTTTGGGTTCAGCTTCAGTTTTCGAGCTTTATTATCGGTAAAGGATTTCAGATTAACAATGAGAGTTCATGTTATTTGGGCACACCACCCGTTTGATTAAATCCATTCTTTGCTTTGATTCTTGTTTTGGCTCTCTTCGTGGTGGATTCAGTTGTTGCTGGTCGAGATTTGGATGCTCGTGGATCTAGTGACCCCAATTTGTTGGATTTTCCGTCGTTGCATGAAGTTGTGGGGGGGGGGGTTCTATGCCAGGTGAAGCTCTGTCTTCAGCTGTGGGGGTGGTTCTGCTGGACATGTAGTCGACGTTCTGTCTTCAAGTAATGACTGGAAAGTCCTTTTCTTAAGTCAATCTTTGCGTTATTTTCCTTCGGTAGAGAGGGATGGGAAAGTCTTAGTTAAGCCCCCTACGGAAGTTTTAGTTGAGGGAACATAGCAGTGAGATAAATTCTCTTCTGGGTATATTTTGGGCAAATCTACGAATTTGGGAATTTTTCAAAAGACTGCCGATAAGTTGTGGGGGCAAGAAGGGTCGGTAGAGATTCGTTTTCTGGCACCGAGTGTTTACATTCAAAATTTTCCTTCTCGCTGTGTTCAGGACTGGGTTTTAGAATTTGGCTCTAGCATATTCAGCAGAAAGCTATCGTCCTGGGGAAATGGTCGTCGGGGATGTTAACAAAGGTCTTGAATCGGTCCCTGTTTGGGTTAAACTTTGGCATGTACCCTTGGAATTATTTTCACAGAAAGGCTTGGGATATATTGCTAGTGCTATTGGTAAGCCTTTATTCATGGATCGGGCTACTGCTTTGAAGCAACAACTTGAATTTGCTAGGATCTGTATTGATGAAAAGGCAGATTTTGTCCTTCATGCTACAGTGGGGGTTGAGCTTGGTGAGGGATGTAGTGTGGATGTTCCAGTTTTAGTTTGAGTGCCTCCAATGTGTTATAATTGTCATATTTTTGGTCATTCTAGAGACTCCCGTTTTATGAAAAAAAAATGGAACTTTTGGTTGATAAGGTTGTTGCTAAGGGAAAACAGTCTATGTAAGAGTTTTTACCTGATTTGGATCCTAAGGATGGGTTTGCTATGGAGGTGGGCTCGGGTAGCAATGTTTGTCTTGTTGCTGCTAGAATGAATGGTATTGTTTTAGAGGGTTGATGGAGTCTAGTTCTGTTGCGGTTCATACTAAAGGGGTGGGGTGTGTTTCGGGTGGTAAGGGGGTAGTTGAGACTATTATGACTAGTCCTGTTGCTATGGATATTGTTCATAGTCCTAATCAATTTGTTGTGCTGTCTGAGGCTCCTGGGGATGCATTTTCTCCCAAGAAGTCTCGAGTTATGGCTGAGGGAGTTGCAGAGCTAATGAATATGTTAAAGCCTAAGAATAAAGGTAGTGCTGTTGTTAGGAAGAAGAATAAGGTGGTCTGAAAGGTGGCGTCTCTCCCTCTTTGCGATGATTATGACTTGGAATGTTAGGGGTTGTAATGGCCTGTTAAAGTAGAAAAGAATATTGAGGTTGGCTAAGAAATTGCAGGTTGAGGTTTTATGCTTGTTGGAGACTATGGTAAGGGAGGTAAAAACTGGTTATGTCCTTTCGAGTTAGTTTAGTGAGTGGAATTTTCTTTCAAATTATTCAAAGGCTTCTAATGGGAGGATCTGGATTTTGAATAGGGGTTTGTGGAAGGTTGCAGAAATTTGTAAATCCGGTTAGCATATTACTTGTTGGTTGGAAAATGGGGATGTGCAATTTTATTTTACGATTGTTTATGGTTGTAATGGCAGGGAGGATAGGCGGCATTTGTGGGGCGATTTGATTAGGGTGAAGTCTTTGGTTGGGGTGAGTCCCTGGATTATCTCTGAGGATTTCAATGTTATTTGTTGTCCTCAAGATAGCTCGGATTTTGATGGTAGTCAGGGCTTTGTTAGTGCCATGCATGATTTTGTTGATTGTAGGGAGGAGTTAGATGTCATTGATCATCATTTTGTAATGAGTTATTTACTTGGTATAATAAGAGGGAGAGCGCCCCTTTGCTTCAAAATTAGATCGTGTTTTAGTTAATCAGAGTTGGTTGCAGCATTTTCCTGATGCTAAGATTGAATTCTTAGCTCCAGATTGTTCTGATCATTGCCCTAGTTGTGTTGTTGTTAAGGCTACTGTGGGGAGACCTCCTCAACCCTTTAAATTTTTTCATTTTTGAGCGGACCATTGTGAATTTTTTAAGGCTGGTGGAGGATTCTTGGAAGGTGTCTTTCATTGGCAACCCCTTGCTTGTTTTATTCGATAAGCTCAAACGTTTGAATGTTCCTCTTCAAATGTTAAATAAGGAGCATTATGGTGGATTATCGGAATGAATTGTTGTTTTTCAAAGAGAGATTGAGGAAGCACAAAAGTTGGTCCCGACTTGTCCTTCTGAGATCAATGTTGCTAAGGAAAAAAAGGATTAGAATAGAGTTGGTTGGTTTATGTAAGGCTGAGGAGAAGTTCTTGAGACAAAAATCGAGGGTGCAATTTGTTAAAGAAGGGGATCGAAACAACTATTTCTTTAGGCATGTGACTTTTAGGCAGAAGATTAATACTATCCAAGTTCTTCAAAATGATTAAGGGCAGAAACTTGATAAATTTGAGGACATCTCTACTAAGCTAATTAAGCACTTTTCATATTCTCTTGGTGATGTTGATATTAATGTGGAGCCAGTTTCCAATGGTTTACCTAAAGATATTTTAGGTGTTGAGCTCTCCTCTAAAATGCAAGACAGTTTGGTGGCACCTATGTCTACTAAGGAGATAAATGATATTTTATTCTTTATGAATGGTAACAAGGCTCCTGGTCCGAATGGGTACCCGTCTAGTTTCTTTCAGATTTCATGGGGCATAATTGGTCAGGATTTTGTTAGTGTTGTAAAGTATTTCTTTGATTCCTCTACTTTACCTATTGGTTTCAACTCCACTATCTTAACTTTGTTGCCTAAAGTTGCTGCTCCTTTATTTGCCTCGGATTTTAATCCCATTTCTTACTGTACCACGGTGTATAAATATATTACAAAGACTCTGAAAAATAGATTGAAACTGTGGCTGCCTAGGTTGACTCT